TTAACAAAGTCGCTTGACAGAAGGGAGGAGGGGGAAGGGGCTTTGGGGGGGTCCAAGAGGATGGAGAAGATAGAAAATAGTTTTTTGTGATTGGAATAGGAAGATTGGATCTTATCTTGAAAGAAAGTGCTTTTTGCCTGAGAGATGGAAGCAGAGAAAGAGGAGAGGAGAGCCTGATAGGTTAGGAGGTCGTCATGGTGTTTGGATTTCCACCATCTCCGCTCTGCTGTTTATGAAGAGCTATTGGACCAAAGAAACACCATCAGGCTCATTTAGCATAGACTCAAACGTAGCATGCTAATAAAGCTAGCTTCCAGTAGCTGTGTTGTTGTTGTTGCTGGTTTGCTAGGTAGCATGCTAACAAGCTAAACAATTATATTCACAAGCTTAAAGTTATTTAGTCATTTTCTTGAAGTGTTATTTGTTCGTTTATAGATGGACAATTTCAAAAGTCTAGAAAAGACAGTGAGATGTGTTTAATGCGTCTGTGAAAGTTTTTCTGATGCAGCGGAAAGGCGGAATTAACACACACACACACACACACACACACACACAACCACACACACACACAGATCGTGTTGGCTCATTCTGTTTTCATGTCCTACTTTTGGGATTACACTGCATGAGGATTTACACTCCAAATTAGGGATTACTCAACATGAGGAAGTATCAGTAAAGCCTGTGTTTGTATTGTGGTTGAACTTCTGGCAGCCGGGGCTAACGTGTTGCTTATGTAAAGGTTGCTAGGTTGCTACACAGCAGTCTTCACATTATTGCCGGATGTGTTTGTGTTAATGTGTTGCATTTTCAACAGTTGCCTCACAGAAATATTCACTCTATTGATGAATGTGTTTTCGTTACAGAACCTGAGGATAAAGACCTCGGCCCTGCACTGACGTGAGGTTCACTGAAGGTCGGACATGAAACTACAAGCACGAGTTCAGTTGTGAAGAGACACAAGTAACTGTACATGTTATTGTTAAAAAAATGATGGTTATTGGTAAAATTGTTCATATCTCATGTAAAGAAACACTCTTAAATCCTCCTATTTTATATCTCTTTGAGACTGAAGAACGTCACACATATAATTATTTTGAATGGATTGCTCAGATGGCTCCATCTAAACTATTTTCTACTTGTTTATATTTGAGAGACCTAAGACAGTCACAACTACAGAAATCCTTCTGCCCTTTCTTTTTTTTTTACTTCTGGTTGCACTGTCAATTTACATTGTTTTCTTCTTTGCATTTTAAATGCATATTTTTCTAATTTGTGTTCAAAAGAAGATGATTTAATTGTATGCTTACATTATAAAATAAGCGATTATTTTTCACATTGGGGATACATTTGTACTTTTGCTTATTATTTTGTATTTTTCATGTCATGGAGGTGATATCTGCCGTAGTGCCTGTAGCGCTTGTTTTTTCCAAGCCTTACGCCACTCCCCTTGCCATTTCTATGGAATAGAGATTCCATATATCACTTTAATATTTATTTAATATTTATTTGTCATCATGTTTAACGCTACAATGCATGTTGATAATTTAACAGAGTTCTTAATTTTTCTTTTTCTTTTTACAATGTCTGCTCCGCACAAATGTAACTTCTATTTTTGTTCTAACGAAGCGTGCTGTTAATAATATGTAAGTGTTCATACAGTATAAATGAAGAGATACATGGGAGAGACTTTCTGGAGTCTTAAAATGAAAATGTATGAAGAAGTATTTTTGTACTGATGTTTAGAAAGAAGCCTCTGCTTACCTCTCTCTGCTGAAACCGTCGTTAACATGTTGGCACAAAATACTTGTCTTTTGTAAAAACTGTTTTATTATATTCTTTATTTATTTGTTGTAGTTTTGGATACTTGGAGGGAGCGGTAGTACCCTGTTTCAATCTGAGAGGACAGTATGTTGTACAGTCCTTTTGTATTTGCTGGGCCAATAAAAACAACTGCTAAAAATATAATTATTTCGATGTACTTGTACTTTATTTGATGCTTCTAATGTAATTGTACCTAAACTGCCTTTTTCTAATGATTTAATAATCTTGGGGGCATTTTAAAAACAAATTAATATAAAATACAAAGCACTGTTATATAGTAATTAAACCACACAACAAGCACTATTTTGAAGCCAGCCACAACAATAAAATAGATCTATTAATCTTATTTTATCGTAATATTATAATGTCACACCCCTTTGGCTCCATAGTAAGTACTTTTACTTACTTAATATAACTTGAATGCAGAACCTTTACTTAGAACCAACACCATATAAGTAAAGCTTTCTCAATTTCTCAATTTCCTCCAACGCTGCTGGGATATTGTGTGCTAAAAGTGTGTGTGTGTCTTTTTGTGTGCGCGTGTTCATCCGTGTGTGTATGTGTGTGTGTCAGTCCCTTCACGGTGAGAAGTCAAAGAGTGCAAGAGTTATTGGATCAAACTATGCAAACAGTTTCAGGCTGTGTCAGGAATATTATCTCTATTCTTCATCATCTTGTCACGTTCTTCCCACTTTGCATATGAAAATGATCCGGGACTTTTATTGTTTCCTGATATTTTTAATATTATAAAGTAGCCTACATGATGTAACCTTCCGGATAGATCTGGGCTAATCTTGATGCTAACTAGCTAAAGTTGTCAAAAATCAACTTTAATTAATTTGTTTGTCAGTTAATTTGTCTTTTATCTGTCCCTACTTTTAGAGCAGTGGATTGAATGTATTATTTGCAATGTGGAATCACTATGTATTATTAATATTATTATTATTATTATTATAATTATTATTATGTGTATTGGCTCATTGTGTGGTCAGATGGTTATGTGACTGCTGACAGGTACACTCTCTCTCTCTCTCACACACACACTCTCGTGTACGTGAGCCTATCCTCATCTCTCCTCACGTCACTGAAACTCTCACACAAGTGCCCTACTGTGAATGAAATATGCAGAATGTTTGAACGTTTTGAACGTTGGAATGTTGGAATGTTGGTAGGAGCTCCCCACTTCCACCTGGACACATTTCTGTGTCACGGAGCGAGTCGCTCTCTGAGTCATGTCTCTATTTTTGTTGCTGCTCATCATGACTCAGCAGTGGTTTCCCTGCAGTGACTGCAACGTTACGCCACTGTAAAGACCCTGGTGGACGTGCAGTAGCTTACAGCCTCACACTCTTGGAAACATTGACAGAGGTATTGGCGAGGCCGCCTTGCTAGCCGCTCTTAGCTTGTAAACGGGCCAAAACAGGTTAATCCAATAATGAGTCTTTAAAAACATTGATATAATCAGAAAATTAACAAAACATTCAGGGTGGAGGGATTGTTGGTATTTAAAAAATATATGCAAATAAAGCGGAAATCCTACCCCCACCATGCCTGGGTGTGTAGTCCCTAAACTGTGAAATCTGACTGCTGCACTTTTCAAGTATGAAGCAATTTGGTACTGCCTCATACACACGTTGACCTTGTGCACATACCTTCTGTTTGTAAAGAATGCTTTACCTCATTATTGATGTGCGGGACTCCCTTTGTGCAGAGTCCATTGATGAGGAGTTTGGGCGTTGAATGGAGAGGATAAGTGACTCAGATGGCCTTGAATAGAGCAGATTAAATAGATCATGGGTTATACCAAACTGAATATACTGGCACTGAAATGAAAGCCCTTTAACAGGATACCTTGCATAGTTTTGTCACAATTGTTTTTTCTAAATGTAGTATTGCATTGGGATATGATCAAATCCATAGACATCTTGTTTTTATTACTTGGTTTAAAGGCAACCTATTATGCAAAATCCACTTTTTCATGTCTTTTCGACATCAACATGTGTCCCCTCTGTGTGGAGAAATTCGGAAAGTTTCAGGGAAAAATATTCGCTCACTTTTTGTCCTGATCCATTTATATAAAAACCTGTCAGGAAATCAGATTTTGGCCACTTTATGATGTCATAACGATTTTCTGGCTTGTGTAACCATTAGCCAATCACCAACCAAGGTAACAAACCCCCCACCTTATCACCTGAATCTCCTCCTAGAGCACCATTGTGTTCTTTTTAACCAAATCTCTCTCAGAGGGGCGTGGGGAGTGGCTCCTTATTTTCATCTAAAGTAACAGACAGAGAATCAGCACTTTTGAAACAGGGCTGAAACAGAGGGGATTATGGGATGCTGCAATGATCTGTTTGGTGTTTGGAGCCAAACACTTCAGAGACATGTTTTGTATATACCTGAGACCTATAATATATTGATGAAAAACAGTATAATAGGGGACCTTTAACTTGGCTCAGGGCATAGATGGCCATATAATTCAGAATGTCAGTGGTTCGATCCCCAGTCCCTTAACATGTTGAAGTGTCCTTAGGCAAGATACTGAACCCCAAATGGCTCCAATAGGCATGGTCAACGTTGTTAAGTGCTTTGGGAGTCTTCCAGATAAAAGCATTGTAATGTAACTGTGTCCGTGTGTGTTTGTTTACTGACCTGTGTTCATAACCAAGTCTTAACCCTTTTTGTGATGAGGACCGCAGAGGACAGATTTAGGAGCCAACTGCGTTGGCAGAGGATACATTACCTTCATTTCCTTGGGGCCCAAATATACCCTAGATTAGTGGATTGATTGCAAAAGATCTAAATCTCCAAAGGGAGGTTGCCAAGAAGTGATTTTGGTGTAGTTGGACAACAACAGCTTACTTCCTGTTATATCGCTGTCCTGACTCTTCCTAATTCCTCTGCAAGTAATTGGGTTAGAGATGGTGGACTAATAGGATAGTCGCGGGCTGCAGACACGCCAACATTATGAGAGAGAGGAGAGGAGAAGAGAGGGGACACAGACTGGAAACTATGAAAGCAAATAAGTGGACCAGAAAAAGGACAGTGGGGAAAACACAAGGACAATTCAGAATTGGATGGCAAGGCAAGGAGAGCAAGGGAGGGACAAGAGGAAAGAAAAAGAGGAGGAAAAAAAGATGGGTCAAATTCATAAAAATTGAAAGGATAGGATCTAAAATGAAGTTCGACAAGTGAGCTTCCTGTTCTTCACCCCTCTCATAATTTCCCCCCTCCTTTTCCTCAATATGAGTAATCCACAAGGTGGTGTGTGGAGGCTCACGTAGTCTCATCACAGTTTAAATCAACTGAACTATTTATGGCTTATTGCACATTATCCCCTAGGCAAACGCTCTAACCTCATTAGCCAAGCACATTTTCAACAATGTATATATTTGAGGACATATATAAATAACGATAATAATAGTATAGTTTGTCGAAAACAGGAGAAAAACGACATACTGTAGTATAGTATGTAGAAAATATCAGAAAAAAGGACATAGTATAGTATTTTGAAAATATTTAAAAAACGACATAGTATAGTATGAGTCGAAAATGTGAGCAAAAATGACAGTGTAATATTTTGAATAAATTGGAGAAAAAACAACATGGTATTTGCAAAAAACACGACATAATGTATAATGTTGAAAATATGCAAAAAAAACACGTAGCAGGCCAAAGTAAATGTAAACATTCATTGTACAAATATCTGAAAAGACGACATAATGTTTGTGCGAAATAACAGACAAAATGTCAGATAGGAAAATATATTTTTGTATGAGGGAAATGTATTTGGTGTAATGAAGGATTGTGATTGTGGATTTGCAGTTTCTTTTCCAACAGACTGACAAAACGGAATTTCTTGAGTTGCACAGCCAAGTTCCCCGTGTTGCAAAAAGTCATTTCTGCAAGTTTAAACTTTCAGTTCGCCTTCAGCGTGCCCTTTGTCAGTTTCACCCTGTTTTAGTAATGACATAAATGATGTTATAATGTGTGTACAAATGGGTAAATTGAGCCGCAGTCCTGTGTGGTATTGTTCAGCGTCTTATCACGTGAACTTTTCACCCCCTGACCCCTATCCTCTCTGCGGGTCAGCTGCAATGGTCTTAGCCAGGATCAGTTTCAGAAACGCTGTCTGTCCCGCAATTTTACCAGAGTGATTTAAACTGTATTAATTACTGCTATCTAGTTTGAGCAAATGTGGACACTTAAAGCAAACCAAAACAAATAAAAAACCTCCTTCCACCCTGAGAGGTGAGCTAAGGTCCCTCTGAGCCCAGTGTGAAAGCCGGTGTAATGCTGAACATAATATGACGGTGGCTACATATCCTCTTAACTCTCAGGATGCATGGCCCACTAACATCACCCTGATATATAGTATGCATTGAGTGGGGGACCCTTATCTAAAAAGTTAGTTCTGAAGTTAAGCGGGGACTCGGATCAATAAAGTGGGGGGGACCCTTATCACATTTTTAAAATTTGATATAAGGGGGGGCACTTATTAAGATAAAGAGCACGCAGTATTAGCTCAGTTCACTTTCCTGTGTAGCTCTCATGCTACCTGCTGGTAAAACGACTGAACCACAACTGTAAATAATATTAAAGATGAGCGCATACCAGTGTCATGAGTTATACCCGAGTCACTGCTGCTTAAACATGTAACCCTATAAGACCACAAATATACAACATTGGACCATAAGGACAGTTAATAGAGTAAACAAAATGTAAAAATCATAAAAAAAACTGCTGAACAATGATATCCATTATTTTTGTATGACAACAGAAAACCCGTGCTAAGAGGTGAGGGATATATATTTACTATCTGCAACTGAACACAGATAACCGGCATTAACACACCATGACACCATGATGGGAACAAATAATAAGCATTAACTTCACATCATATATTTTCCATAACTATTTTAGTTCAGTGTTTAAAGGAAATAGAATCTTGAATCTTTGTGAAACGCCTATGGAGTTAGGGTTTAGCCAATAAAGGGATATTTATCTATATGTCATATTGCAGTAGATTCTAAGGTCTTATGGCTTTTCCATTAGATGTTTCATCAGATGTTATTTATAGGGGAATCCTAAATTATCCTGCTGTGTTGTCCAATAAGAATTTCTTCACTCTGCAAAAATAATTG